AAATCTTACTGTGATCTCAGTCATTCCTACTCGAGCTCAGCTCATGACAGCGATCAATTATAATCCACAAATCCTCTCAGCCGTGTGAGAGACCAGCTATCCACTTCCCTCTGGTATTTATAAACATTTCTTTCTTTCACATAGTGCTTTATCTTTTTATTTATTAAATTTCATTTTTTAATTTCCAGTTAAGTGTTTTGAGGTCTAAATGGCATTTTTAATAGATCCACCCACCCACCTGCGTAGCTTAAGTTTAATCACAGGTAAGAGTTACATTAGGGCATGGGAATGAGGATGTGGCTAATACACCAATCAACTTTGCATATTATTCACATCCTCAAACAACACCCACCTGTAACCAAACTTAAACACGTGCAAGGGGCGGGGGAAATTGCATATGCCTTCTCTATTTATGCCTCCCTGCACTTCCTTCCAATTCCTCTGTGTGCCACATAAATAATTTTAAATTATAAACTCCTCTTGTAGTTTATAAAATGCCACAAGCACTGATGGTGTTAAATAATCAATGCAAATGCTGAAAGAAAAGAACCATGTAGAATTCCCTTTGTTTCTTCCTCGATAAATTCATTTACGATTCATTAAGCCCACCAGAGGAGCTCCTTCATACATGCAGATATTCTAATATACACACTCACTAACTCACATTTCCCCACCTACACAGGATCTTCCCAATTTGCTTCAATATCGGAGGAGCTCCAAATGCACATCTCCCAATGAACATAAGTCAAGAGCAGGCTATGGTGTTCATTGGGAATGTGAAGTTGGAGCTGCTGTAGTCTATAGTCAATAGTAAGGCTCATTTGTGTGAGCAAAAGGATGCAACTAATTTTGGATCAATCTCGTAGTATGTTTCCAATCAGCTGGGCAACATAATATCTGTTATTTACCAAAAGGAATTTCAACTGGAACTGTGACAAAAGCCTTTCTTTATATACTTCGGTAATCGTGTGTCCTGCTGTTTCCTGTATGTTTCCTTTCTGGTTTTCAGGACATCCGACAGCTCCTTATTCATCCAGCTGGTTCTCTTATGAGCCCTTATCTTTCCTTTGTATCAGAGCAGCCTGAAGTTATGCGTCTGATAAAATCTCCTTCTAGAGCAACTATCAGTTTAGACACGTTTCCCTCTTAGTTGTTGGGTTATTGTTTTTTTAAAATAATATTATGGACCATGAACATCTCTGCAAAGCCCCAGTTGAAATCTCCTGGGGTTTTTGGGTGTTTTTTGTATAACTCTCTTTGCTCTGCTGCCTTCAACTTTTCTTAATGTGGGTAGTTCCATTTTCATGTGTCATATCAAAACCAAACCAATATATCCATTCACTTTCCTTCCTTTCTAGGTGTCCTATTCAAAACTGTCTTTTAGGAATGTGTGAAGAACCTAGGACACCATGGACATAATCCAGCAAGTTAATTTACATACATTAAAAATGAAGGATACATTTGGATTTTTTAGAATGCCATAAGGACTGCTTCCCCTGGATAGTTTTCTCTCCTCCCTTTCACAGACAGAAAAAGTGTGTGCATCACACACATTTTGTGCTTTTTCCTATGAGGTCTGGTAAATGTCATATCCAGTAGAATTCAGATAGCTCCTCTTGAAATTGAAGAATTTTAGACACTCCCCACAAACACCATCAAATTAGAACTTACACACGAATCTTCTATTTTTCCACTGGCAACAAAACCATCCACAAATGATCTCTTAAAAAAAAAATTATAAGCAAAAGAATCCATTAGTGGCATACAGCTAACGTTTACGCAGAGTAGACCCACAGAAATAAATGAACATGACTTAGGCCCATTACTTTCAATGGGTCTACTCTTGAGTGTAGCTCAGTGGAATGCCACCTCATGTTTTTCTGCCATGACAGCATTGGAAAGTACCAAAACTGTGATCTGTATGGTTCAGTCAATGGAAACAGATGTAAGATGTGATTTGATGGCGGGGGTGGGTGGTGGGTAACTGTGAAAATATTGTGGTGTTTCAACAGGATCCATTTTTCTAATGCCTTCTGGCACTCTCTCCATCTCTAATCTGACTCCTGCAGTGTTTTGGAGGGAGGTGACTAAAAATCAGTCCTCCTGTCAGGGAAATATCTCCTTACTCACCCAGTGTTAAGATATTCCACCCTCTCCTTCTTTAGCAGAGTTTGTCTTTTCATCCAGTGAATTAAACAGCTCACGTATATACATGAAACAAAGCCTTAACAGTAGAAAAATGTAACTGATGACCTGAAGGAAGGGGCCAATTCTAGAGTACAGCATAAAAGCCCCACACCCTAGAGGCCAGGTATTCCATTAATCAAATTAGCCTTCAGTGCTTTTCCTATATGCAGCACCAACGTGCTCACCGCTGGTCACTCCAATCTTCTCCCCTTGCAGTCTCCCAGATTGTTCCTCTTTCCCACCCACTCTCATTTCATCTGTGCAGGGGCCAGTCCGAGCTGTGGAAAGTGCATGGAGCTAGAAGAGGAAGTGGGAAGAACAGCGTTTGTTCTTCCGAGTTCCTCCTTTGGTTCTCTGTACATTTCGAGGGGGCAGTAACTGACGTCACATGACAAAGGAGGCAATGCAAGGTGGGGTTTATGAGTATCAGGGGACTCTTCAAGGGCACCATGTTGGTGACATCAGTATGAAGAATGACCACCATTTCCCCAGGTGGTGCGAATAGGATATTCTTGACATCTTTTTGCTCATTTATTTCAGCGGCTTTCAAATAATCCACCCTTATAAAACCCTTTCCATAGCAACTTCTCTGTTTTATGGACACCAGCACCAGCTCCAGAATGTTGTTGTTTGGGGGGAGGGCCTTGGGCAAGATGCTGTCAGCAGAAAAGCCTTGTCTCACTGTTGAACAGGCCACTAGTACTATTTTGTCACTGCTCTCTCCCAAGAGAGTGGACAAAGAAGTGAGCAGTGATTGCTGCAAAGAAGAGTCCTGCTTGATTGCTGTTTCCTCTTCTTTGGGGCAGTGATGGGAACTTGGTTTCACTGCCATCCAGAGATGGAGGGAGACAGGTCAGACAATCAAAGGAGTATGTCTGTCTCACATGCTCTTTAAACCTATGAATGCTCCTATGATGCACGTGTGAAGATCTCTTTTTCCTATTACAATTGTCCTTTCATAAAATAGATAAAGAATAATGTTTCTAGAAAGGTTCTCAAATGTGAAGGCACAGAAAAATATTGGCATCTGAGATGAGGTACTGCTGTGCTGTCCTCCTGGCTCTGAGTGCTGCAGCTGCTCCCTGGGGCTGGGGTAAGATGAGGCAGCAGAAATACAGTGGTACCTCGGGTTACATACGCTTCAGGTTACATATGCTTCAAGTTACACACTCCGCTAACCCAGAAATACTGATTCAGGTTACGAACTTTGCTTCAGGATAAGAACAGAAATCGGGCTCCTGCGGCGCAGCGGCCGCAGGAGGCCCCATTAACTAAAGTGGTGCTTCAGGTTAAGAACAGTTTCAGGTTAAGAACGGACCTCTGGAACGAATTAAGTACTTAACCCGAGGTACCACTGTACTGGGGGTGGGGTGGGGGTGGCGGCAGCCTCAAGTGTAGTGTGTGCTTGGTTGTGGCATGTGTGCAGTGCCTCAACAGTTTATTTGGTTTGTATGTGTACCCATGGGCCCAAGAAGATTGGTGACTCCTGAGCAGCCATAAACTACTGGTTGGAGTAAAAAGGTAAAGTTAAAGCCCCCCTGGATTGTTACGTCCAGTCAAAGGCAACTATGGGGTTGCAGTGCTCATCTTGCTTTCAGGCTGAGGGAGCCTGTGTTTGTCCACAGAAAATTTCCGGGTCATGTGGCCGGCATGACTAACCGCTTCTGGCGCAACGGAACACCCTGACGAAGACCAGGGTGCACGGAAATGCTGGCTGTTTCGCTTTCTGTTGCAGCAGTACCTATTTATCTACTTGCACTGGTGCGCTTTTGAACTGCTAGATTGATAGGAGCTGGGACAGAGCAACAGGAGCTCACCCCATTGCGGGGATTCGAACCACTGACCTTCTGATCGGCAAGTCCAAGAGGCTCAATGTGTTGGAGTACAACACACAGGCCAGTCCCATGCATATTTATTCAGAAGTCTCACTAAATTCAGTGGGCTTTACTTCCGCTTCCAGTGGAGGAATGCCTAATCGTTAATTCTGAATTCTTCTTAGATTGTTGCAAATGCACGTGTAACAGCTGCAGACGTGACCTATTAAAATCCAGGATCCGAGAAACCGACCCCCGGCCGGATTCGAGTTCAGTGCCCAAGGAACACGACAGAAACAGAAGCAGCTGAGCATTGCTCACTGTGTAACTCATTAACCGGGGCAGTTCCCTTCCCCCACCCTCTTCACCCTTCACAAAAATGTTAATCCCCTGCAGCTAAGCCCTCAGAAACCCCTGCGAGGAGGTATGTTTTCTTTTCCATCCTTGTACCAGATGCCTGCCAGCGAGTCCCTCCTCCTCCCCACCCCCGGGGCTGCCTTGCGCCTCCAGCTCACAAGGGGAAGAACACTGCTGGCAGGGCGAGAGGGCAGGTCTCCACCAGCGAATGGCAAGAGGCAACGGAAAGCAGCCCCAGGTGATGATGGCAGGGTGAAGAGGCAGCGCAGCCTTATGCCCCTTCATTTGGGAAGCAAGACCCTGCGTTCCAGGGGGCTTACTCCCGAGTAAACTTGCCCAAGATTTGCAGCCTTGGTCTCCCCTTCCCCCCGCGGGAGAGAGAGAGAAATTCTCCTCCCCAATCCCACTTGTAGCCCTCATAAACATCCCTCACAACAGTACAAAAGCGCGTGATTTGATCCCCATCGCGGGGCTGCCCGCAGCGGAGTCTCGAACCCGCAGCCCCGAGCCTCCGGGGCGGGAGAGAAGGACGCGAGGCAGCGGCCCAGTCCTTGACGCGCGGTGCATTGTGGGCCACGCACTGTTGTGTGCAGGAGCCGCGGAGGCTGCCGGGAGCGGCGGGAGGCGGCGACGAAACTCTGAACGACGGCGGCGGCGGCGCGGAGCAGGAGGAGGCGGCGGCGGCGGCTGAGGGCCCGGCTTGGGAGGCAGCAGCGGCGGCTGGACTCGCTCAGCTTCTCCTCGGCTCCACCAGCGGGACCCTCCCGGGCCAGAGGCCGCCGCCGCGGGACGGAGGACCGCCGAGAGAGCAGCAGCGCCGCCGCCGCCGTGGCCACCTCGGATGCGGAGGTGGCGGCAGGAGGAGGCGGAGCGACCTGCGGGTGGGAAGGCCGGGCTCGAGGGTGAGGGGCGCTCGCCTCTCTCCGCCGAGGCCTCCGGGGAAGGGAAGCGAAGCCCCACCTTCCTGCCCCCTCTTCTTCCTCCTGGTGAGGGGGGAACCTCCGAGGAGAAGCAGCTCAACTTCGGGCTCCCCCCCCCACTCCCAACTTTTCAGCCGCTTCTGCGTTTTATTGGTTTCTCCATCCAATTTCTACACTTTGGGGTGGGGATTAAGGATTGGGGCTGCTCCCCCCCTTTTTTTAACTTCCAGGGAAGATGCCCAGAACGGTTTCTGTGCCCCCTTGAAGCTTCCCCACCGCACACGCCGCCACCCCCCGCCGCCTCTCTCTGAAAGAAAACAACCAACAACCCGCTTAAGAGGAATTATAAATGCGGGACAAGAGACCCGAGAAGCTGAAAGAAGGAAAAGTTCCTGCGCTGCCTAACGAGAGGCGGGTTGGAGGAGCGCCCTCCCAGCTCCTGCGGGAATAGAGAAGTTCTCCCAACTTTTTTGGTATCTTCGGGTTTTTTTAAGTAGCGCCATCGTGACCTAAAGTGAGCTTTGTATACTGTGCACTGTTGATTGATTGTCGGCCTAGAAGCACTGAAAACAGTTGGCCCCCTTTTTTTTTTTTTTTTGGCCACACGCTTCTCCTAACCTGGCTTTTTTTGTAAGCCAGGATTAGATAGGAAGGGAGCTTGCTTGAAGACTGGGCTGTTCCGTATCTTGCTGCTGCTGCTGCTCCTGTTGGACCATCTCCTTTTCCAAGCAAGATTATTTATCCTCTTGTTTGCGGTTCAAGGATTATTTAATGAATGGATTTTGTAGTCAATCTGGATGGCTGCTCTACCATTTGAAATGTTTTTGGAAATCATGCCGAGTTGCTGAAAAGAGCTGATATTGCTGGAAAATTTTAGCCTCTGGCAAAGCCTTTTTTGTTCACCGACCAAGGTAAATGAAACAATGGAAGTTTCTAAATTATTTTAGTTAGCAGCTATAAAACATGAGATAAACACTTTGATTATGTTGATTAATGCCTAAGAATTATAAATGAAGTTTTTCATTATATTATATAATCATAAACGTATGGGGAGTGGAATTGGTCCCATTACATGGCCCTTGAGAAAATTGTTTGCTTATGTTTAGCTCAGTCTTTATGAACATCTAAGGAAGGATAAAGGACTTTATTAGATGAACTCCTTAATTTGGTTGGCTTTAACAGAAAGTTAGCTGTTCAGTTTTGTCAGGGAACAGACACATTTACTCAGGTTTTTTTGTACTTTTTGTAATGCTGTACTGAAGTGTATATGTCCACATACATATTAAAACTTAAAGAGCTATACAGTCACTATTATTAAAATAGTTTAACATGTGCTTTGATGCTTTTGTGTATTGTTCCCATGGTGGCTTTTTGTGATGCATTGTAGGGTCTAGTGATGCTGTATTGCTGTTAGTGCTTTGATCTTCTGCTTGTTCATGAGGTTGCTTTTGTGTTGTACTTCCTAAGAACCTGCCTGCTTATTAATTATCCAACTGCAAAAAGGCTCTAATGCTACTTTAATGGCAACAAATTTCTGTAATGGAGATTGTGCAGCTACAATAATAAGCTCATGTAGAGTGTAGACAGTAAAACCTAGCTAGCTTTCATGAGGGCAGAGGACAGTTTTAAGAACCTGGGGGTACCTATTTTTGCATATAACTGATTGTAGTTCTACTGTAGATCTTTGATTTTATATGCATCATAAGCTTGCTTTTAAGTTTTGTACCAGATACAGGATAGAATGCATGCTTCTTAAATCAACGCATTTACATTGCTTAATAACTACTGCCTGTGGTTCTATACTTGCAATGCAGATTAGATTTCCTAATCTCACCCACAAATATGTGGGTGATTCACCCCTATGCCTCTAATAACTTCAACAGGATAAAGTGTGTTGAACAATTGTGTTAAGTGAATCTGAGGACCTTAAAGGCATTTGGTTTTGTCAGGTTAGAGATAATGTAGCATAAGAATCTTGTTAGAAGTAGCAAGTCAGAAAATGAGGTATTGTGTTAGCAGTTAGTACTAGTAATACATATTTGTTTTATACTTAGCTCATAAACGTCATTTGACGTGACACAGTTGTAAAGACACTGATAACAAACCTCCACTGCTACATTCAGATAAGTTAAAGAGGTTGTGGGGTACTTTGTCATTGGGGAAGACCATTGCACATAAAAGCTCTGTTACTCTGGATTTGTATTTTTTGCCATGTTAATGGTATAACTAAATGTCTTAAATTTCATTTCAAGATGATGTGCGAGGTGATGCCAACTATCAGTGAGGCAGAGATTCCCTCAGGGGGAAGTGGAAGCCATGGTTCAGGTTCCCCCTTACAGTCGGATGCTGATTCCCATTTCGAGCAATTAATGGTATCCATGTTGGAGGAACGAGATCGCCTTTTGGACACACTGCGAGAGACTCAAGAGACACTAGCATTAACACAGGGTAAACTGCATGAAGTTGGTCATGAAAGGGATTCACTACAACGACAGCTTAATACTGCACTGCCACAGGTATGTTTTTTTAATATATATATATAAACAAGCAAACTTTGATATCATTAAACTTTAGATCACTGTCTTCAGGAATTAACATGTGAGTTAAATGAAACACTTTAAAGAGCCCATAGCATGATTTTTTCCTTTGCTTAGTGAAATAATACAGGAAATATGAAACAAAAAGTTTAATGTGAGCAAGAAAACTTTGAAGGTTGCTTCATACTGCACTGTTGTTGCAGGATAGACTCTCGGAACCTTGCAAATTTAGCTTTAGGTGGCTTTTTAGCTTTTTTAGAAGTAACAGTTTGTAATCAAGGTGGCCAGCAAGATTTCTAAGGCTAGAATAAGCAAACCTTTTGTGTAAGGTTTGTAGTAGTGTAAGTAGAGTGGTGGTGTTGTAGTGTAAATTGACAGAATTGATTGGCATTAAAGGTGAATTGCTTTACTCTTAAAGATATCTAGGGTTCATCTTTAGAGAGGTGGAATTAAGCACATATAGAATCTGAGCAGCAACTGGAGGGATTATAAATTTTAAAAAACTACAATTCTGGTTGTGCCCCTATTATTTCTTGAGTGGGAGAGGGAGAATCTAGAGGTGTCAAACATAGTGAACCACTGTTCTTCTCCATATTAAGAAATTGTCATCTTGATCATTCTCTGTGCCAGGAGAGAGCTGTAGCAGCAGTCATAGTTTGCAGTCAGGTTTCTATAGATCAGAAAACAAGCACATTATGGCCCCACCCCTGCACCCTTTGTGTCCTTTTCTCCTGTCAGAGGCTGGACTATCCTATTAACAGCAGCTGCCAGACACTATTCTGTTAGGCTCTCTAGCAAAATAGTGAGCTACTCAAATGCTAGGGTATCCCTTTCTTTCTCCTGATAAAGAAAAAGCCCAACCTACCTGTAAGAGTTACTGGTCCCAGGATATGTGAGCATCAGAGCTCAGTGGGGTTTGGGATCACGTCTGTGGTCACCAGATGTAGTTGACTCAGTCAGTTGCTGGCATACAATAAGTTTAAGACTTCTGTAATATAGAATCCCTCCAGTTAATGCCAGGAGAAATAGCAACAGATGATTGATCTTTAATAAAAAGGTAAAGAACCCCTGACATGTCAAGTCCAGTCGCGAACGACTCTGGGGTTGCAGCACTCATCTCACTTTACTAGCCGAGGGAGCCGATGTTTGTCTGCAGACAGTTTTTCCAGGTCATGTGGCAAGCCGCTTCTGGCGAAACCAGAGCAGCGCATGGAAACGCTGTTTACCTTTCTGCCGGAGCGGTACCTATTTATCTACTTGCACTTTGACGTGCTTTCGAACTGCTAGGTTGGCAGGAGCTGGGACCGAACAATGGGAGCTCACCCTGTTGCGGGGATTCGAACCATAGAGTACATGCAAAAGGTCCCATATTCAGTCCCGGTATCTCCAGGTAGTACAAGGAGAAACCCTTGTCTGAAACCATGGAGAGCCACTGGCAGTTATTGGTCAACAATACTATGCTAGAGGGATGAGTGTCCGGGTGGGATCCCTAAATGGCTTGTGATCCAACAACCTAAACAGAGAGCCTCTGCCAATATCAACTGATCTCAGGCCCTATGATTGGCAGGGGAGACAGGAAATGGCAATAGCTCTCCATGGTTTCAGGTTCGGGTCTCTCTCGGTTCTACCTGGAGATACTTGGGATTGAACCTGGGATCTTTTGTATGGAAAGCATGTTCTCTTCTCTATTGCTGAGCTATAGCCCTTCCCATTAAAAAGCTTCTTATGTTCCTTTCTTAACTGAACCATCATACCTACTTCTGAGATTTGGAGCTGGTTAACTACTTGTTGCCCTTGTGCTGCTTCAGTATTAAGTCTCCTCAGATTATTTGGTGTGTGTTTTTTTAAGCTGCCACTTAAATACTGACATGTGTTGAGCTTTAATGGAATGCAGAGTCTGCAGAGAAAAGCTCCTTATTTTGGCTGTAGTCTTAAATGAGAACACAATGCATTTGTTATATGTAATTGTTAGAAGAGGATATTTAAGGCTTTCTCTCCCACAGGGATATGTTTGGGGGGGGAGAGGGGGGGAGGGTGTATAAGTTTAAGAAGTTACTTTGGAGACTGCCAGGGGAGAGAAACAATAGGATTTTATTTTTGTTTGTATATATGTAAATAAAGAAGCAAGTAGCCCAACTATAGCCAACCTCTTGTCAAGCATGCTACAAGTTGATTCCACTGCATAAGACAATACCTCTCTAATAATTGGCATGAGATTACAGTAATATGTTTAACAAACAGTCTTGTGGTACCTTAAAGATGAAGTAATTTATTCTGACATAAGTTTTTGTGGACTTATTTGTCTTAAAGATGCAACAGGACTCTGTTTTTGTTTTAAGAGACACTTGTACTCCAACTGGACATGGAACAAATTTTACATCATTACGATCTAAAATAATCAGTACTCAAAAACACCACAAGAAAAGCAAGAAAATAGAAATAGTTTTTCCTTATGTTGGGTCAGATCAGAAAGTAAATAGTCCCTGTAGATCAGTGTAACAAAGGGTCTCAAATCCAGTTTCACTGATGCTAACGAAACACTGAAAATTCAACCTAGAGCCTGATTATATTCAAAGTTTGAACATGGTGAAGCCACTTGGCATTCTTGCTTGCTGTAGAGATTGTTAGAACAACTTTATTTTAAGCAGAGATGGGGAACCTGAGGCTCTCCAGATACTGGGTTGCAACTATGTGTCATCCCTGACCATTGGTCATGTTGGCAAGGGCAAATGGAGTTGGAGTCCAGTAACATATAGACAACCTCAGGTTCCTCATCCCTAGTGTAGGGATAACTTTCATAAATAAATAGCATTACACTGAGAATTTTGATATATTGTTTGCTAGACTCTAGTATTTGAACTTCTTTGGATGTGCATATGGTTGGCTTAATGAAAGTTGAAGATTTAGAGAGGCAATCCTATTGGTTCCTCCCTCCTTCAGAGGGAGTGTAACCCCATCAAGAGCAGGCAACCTACTATCCTTCCAGTCTAGGGAACCACGCACTAACAGTGCCTCAGTCTTAAAGGCAAGCATGTTTTTTAAATGCTTGAAGACAAGAATGGAAATGCTTCTCCAGACTAATTTGTGGCCATTCTTTTAAAAACTTATGCTTAAAGCCAGTGTTAGAAACTGAGATATGAAACCTAGGAGCTAAATGGCACCTTAAACCTAGGTTATGGGTGCAACAACGGAATGTCTAGGCGCACTTTTTATAACAAGAATACAAAGCTGAAAATGAATGAATTGCAACTAAAATCTTATATTCATTTTCCATATGGTCTAGTCCTCATCTGAAGACTGCAAAAAACAAATAATAATAATAATAATAATAATAATAATAATTTATTTATATCCCGCCCTCCCCAGGCTCAGAGCGGCTAACAACAGTAGAAGTAATACATCATTCTAAAACCAATTCATTCTAAAATCAATTCAAAATCAAATTAATGGCAACCATTGGACTAGAGTTCTATGAGGATTACCAAAGGAGGGGGTCAGGCTGTGCCTTGGCCAAAGGCCTGGTGGAACAGCTCTGTCTTGCAGGCCCTGCAGAAAGTTGTCAAGTCCTGCAGGGCCCTAGTCTCTTGTGACAGAGCGTTCCACCAGATTGGGGCCACATCGAAAAAGCCCTGGCTCTGGTTGAGGCCAGCCTAACCTCCCTGTGGCTTGGGACCTCCAATATGTTTTTATTTGAAGACCGTAAGGTCCTCCATGGGACGTACCAGGAGAGGCGGTCCCGTAGGTACGAGAGTCCTAGGCCGTATAGGGCTTTAAAGGTTTAAACCAGCACCTTCAACCTGATCCTGTACTCCACCAGTGCAGCTGGTATAGCACCGGGTGAATGTGATCCCACGGCGAGGACCCCGTAAGGAGTCTCGCTGCAGCATTCTGCACCTGCTAGAGTTTCTGGGTCAGTCTCAAGGGCAGCCCCATGTAGAGTGCTTCCCCTGCCTGCCCCCATAATATTCTTAAGACAGTCTCTTCTCCAGTCTTCAGAGAGTGGCTGGAAGTGGGGCGGCAGAAAAAGGCCCTCGTTTCCTTCCAATCTGCAGCTTTAATCTGAAATCTTAGGCACAGTACTGTGCTCAGAGCTCAGAAACTGCTCATGCTAATGAAATTCCTTGTCTCAAAACACTTAGAACAATGGGAATTTTGAATGCTGCTTAAAGCCTAGGAAATAAGTTGATGGGTGAATCAAATTCACATGTCTAATTTTAACCTGGACAATGTGTCATGTTGTTTGGATACTCAGCTATTCGTTTCTTTAATATATAGAGGAAAACGACACGAGGGAAACTAGAGGCAACTTATCTAACTTGGTGCTCAGTGCCTAAAGATTACATGTTTTCATAATCACATACAGCTAAACAAGCAAAATAACTGACTACCAAAATAAAAAATGGCAACAACTAAAACTGTACCCATTACCTCTTGAAATTAAGTGCAATATGTATTGAATACATAGGTATGATATTGGGGGTATGTGTTATTTTTGGTTAGTGCATGAAAGTTAGTGTTAAATAGTTTTTATGTGTTTGGTTCTACAATGATACATTTCACCACTAAAGACATATTTATGTAATCTACAACACATGGTGTATTTGTGCACCTGTACTTACAAGTAGAGCTTGTTGGAGGCCAGGGGCAGGAGTCTTGTTAGAATAAAGTTATCAACTCAAACGAAAAAAGCAGATGGTTCCTGACGGGGCCTCCTGGCTGGCTTAGACCTTGGAGGCCTAGGGCAAGTGTACCTGGCTGCACTTCCCTTCATGGACCTGCTTACAGGTGAATGAAAAATCAAGAAATTTTTTTTTTCTTGACATGCAGTTACTAAAATAGGCTTTGGAATTAGTGAAACAATTTTTAAATTGCAGGCATAGAGAGTTGCACTTCTTTATAGGCCTGCAGGATGAGTAATCTCAAGCAGTACTGATTAAGTTGTTGTAAAAGAAATGGTCATAATTGCTGTTACACGACTA